ACAAAACTCATATTAAAGTTGATGTGGCACAGTGGAATAAATAATAAATAACAGAGCTGATTCATAAATAATATGGAATTTCACAACTATCGGAGCGTTTGAAATAAATATCATTGAAAGAGAAACAATGGCCGCACTTGAAAGGTGATACAAACCCAATATCTCATTGATACATTGGCTTCACAAGAAATTTGTTAAATCTGGTTAGATGTGAGATGAAGAGACATTCAGTATTAACATTTCTTATCGACAAGTCAAAAGAGCAGTTTTAATAACCAAGCTTTAATGCGTTTATTTAAAATGATATCAGCATTCGAATGCACGCTGATAATCGCTGTTCGAAGAAAGACTTAAGGTTTAAGCTCAATAAGATTTAATCAACACATAATCCATGGATCCTTCATGGCTTATTGAACCGGGGATTTAAATAACTATCTCCAGAAGTGTTTAAGTCATGAAGATGTCAATTAGCGTAACAGCAGGCAACATGGAGTTAAACATAGATCCGAACTATAAGTCATAAAATAAGTTGAACTTCCAATGTTCAACATGTGATTTAAAATATTCAAAGACCTTTTAATTAATAACCTATTAAATATGTAATCAATAATAGAATCTGCACCAATGGTTTTTGATTTGCTAAGCATATTATGAACCTCTAAGGGTTTCTCGTCGCTTGCTAAGGCTATGAAGTTCTCTATAGTAAATATTAGATCTTGGAGTAAATATAACCCTGTTTACATAGCCACATATAAAGCTTCATTGTGTGTTCCTAGACAAGAAATTCTTTTGAAGTTTAAAAACAACTCTTCTTGTAGAGATAGCTAACTGGAATGCGTACTTAGCTATCCTTCCAACGACAAATAGAGTTTCACTCTAGCAATTAGCTCAAGCACCCCTTTTATATTGAAGTCGAGGCGCTAAAATTTGCGGCAATCTGTTACATTTGTAACACCATTTGTTAGCTCTATTCTAGTTACTATATTCCGTTTTAACTTGCCTTTAACTTGCTATATTATTAATGTTATTTAATAAAGAAATGTACTTCGTTGAAGTTTAGCATTGCTTGGCCTCTTCCTATTGATTATTATTTAAAAATGTATGAAATCCACTTAAAATCTATGTACATGGCTCAGTTGTACAACATGGCAAGCAAAGCTCGGATCAACTCATTTATGCACTCCTTCTCACATTTGTGGCAGACACATCAAAATCTAACCATAGTGTTTCGGATATTCAGAGGGTCATTATATACGTACGTACTACATTCTTTAATAGCCGCATCTGTTTGCTTGCTCGACTGTCTGACTGTCTGACTGCCTTACCGCCTTACCGCCTTACTGCCTCCATGCCTTCGAGCCTGCTTGGTTACTTGTTCGACTTCAGGTGCTCTGCGAACTTTTGCAAATGCTGGCAGCTGGCATAATTTTGTAATTTCATTTCTGCACTGAGCTTTTTCGCACATTTTTTGTTGCTCTTGCAGTATGTTTGAGTATGTCTGTATGTTGTGGCAGGTGAGAGCTTTCCAGGGATTTGCACCGGCTTAAGCAGCAAGTTTAACCAAAAGCAGATATTTAATGAGTTTGCCAACAGGCGGCACACAAGGGGTTTGTTGTTATGGTTTTTTGTTTTTCGGGGTGAAGGTAAAGTTTTTATCTTTAATAAAGGGTGTTTTTTATGTGCCAACACTCGAAAAGTTTATCGATTTCGTAATATCGTGTTGGCAACTCATCATGCATGAAAATTTATGTAAAATTATTGCGTTCTAAGATATTTGAAACACAATTAGAAGATTAGACTACCATTTGTTGGGGAATTTGAAATAGTTGCAGCTAGCAGCATCGATTTAAGCACTGGAAGACAATATTAGGCGCCATAACAATTAGAAGAGTGGAGAACAATTAAACCCTGCAAGTTAAGTTTCTGCATCAATATCGCCATAATAGTAGAGAAAAGAAAGAAAAAAGAATGTTTGATTTCAATTAAAAGTTCTATATCACCCTCAAAACACCCTTTATATGTATGTAGACACATGCCAGTACTCGTATATGTATGCAACTGCTTTTGGCAGTTGATTAATTAGCAGGCAAATGTGCCTGTTCTCTATTTTTTTTTTTTACTTAAAACTCAGGTGTAACAAGCTGGCCTTAAGCCTTGAACAAAAATAAAAGTACATTTCGAAAACTGGGATTGTAATTCAATGCCAAAATGTCTGAAACACACACGCACAGACATTTAAAAAGTCGAACCAATTCGAGTGTATTATTTCTAAAGAAATGCGTTGACTGCTGCTTCCTGCTGTCCTCTGTTTGGGATACATGCTGTGCGGAAATAAAGCACGAAAAGGACTATAAAGCAACTGTAGCATACCACAAGGCGCCCACCACATGCGGTGAAAATTATGAAACCTTGAAATGCAGCTTAGCAGGGCGGCCAAGCACAACAGCACAGTCAGAGGGCAAGCCACTGCTACTGCCACTGCCACACAAGACAGCACACCAATAATGTCTTTAGACTTCACGGTGAAATCTTTAAGCGCAAGCAGTGACAATAATTTTGTTTGCAAAGGACACGTGGTGAGCACGTCACGCCAACGCAATTGCAAAGCAATTCTAAGGCTTCAATTTGCGTTTTTCCCTCTTCCATTCTTTTTTTTTATATTGTCTGTTTCTCTGTCCAAATCCTTAGAGCAGTTGCCGGCACTTTGACTCGACGCCCGTTTCGTGGCTGTCTTTGATTAGGATTTGCCGACACTCTCGTTTAGGGCAACTGAGCGCCTCTTTCTTGATCCTTGTTGCTGTTGCCATTGTTGTTACTACTGTTATGGGCTATTGCGTTTTAACTTTTTGACATTGACATCGTCTTGGTCTTGGTCCTCGGGTCGTCCTCGGTTCATATTGCAGTTTAGTCGGCACGCACTAGTATTTCTTTTGGCCTTTTACCAGCTTAGAAAATACATATATTCCATGGCATGTGCCCACCCACGCCTTTGTCAACCTATTATCTTACATTGCAGCATTGTGTTTGTATTGCTAGTGCAGGAGCTGCTTAAAGGCGCAGCAAAGAGTCAAGGGTTTAGGGATTTAGGTTGTCAAGTAGCCGGTTTCGTGTTCAACCCCAAAACACTTGTCATTGCAAAACAGACAACGGAAATAGTGACGGACAGATAAAGATAGATAACGTGGGGGAGAGGGCGAGCAAAAGTTAAGCTCAATAGCCTGTTGTGCCTGATAATTTTGTTTCAGTTTTATACTTGTATTTTCACTCACAGACTTGTAGTTCTCCGGCTGCTGCTGTCGTTGTCACAACTTTGGAGTCTAATGCACTCTTGTCATGCTTGGGGTACATGACATTGACATTTGAGCTAAGGATCCTAACATTTTTTGCTTTTCTTATCTAGGGAGTCACACAATTAACACCATTTTCTGTTGAAAGTTGAAAAGTTAAAAATGGCAGCAAAAGAGCAAATTCTGAAAGTTCTTTTAAGAGTCATTGTCAAGGCATATGTCTTGTCGATTCATGTAAGAATCCAAATAACTTCGTTAGACACACTTAAATATTTGAGTTTTCCACTTAAATGCTTGATATTATAAATACAGAAATGAACCAATACGACTCAAGTCGTAATATTCAGTTCTTAGTATAATGCTATTTGACTATCCAGGTGCTCAAAGGATGTAGTCTGTATGATTTGACATTAGCAAGAGAACTGGGGAAAAAACCTACTCTACATTAAGCAAGTCTTGGCCACACACAGGATTGGTGGGACATTTGTAGGCACAGTCAAATTTTGTTCAGGAATACAACTTTCTAATTGTAATTTGTTTCCTTCAGCGAAGATTATTTGATTCGTCCTTTTATATACATATATCGATTTAATTTTGTGATTAACTTTGATGATTTTTATTATTTCTCTCTCTATGATTTCTTTTCAGTTATTTCTATTAAATTAACATTAACATTCCTTTGAGGTAATATGTGAGCTCATTCCAGCGTTCATTTAATCTATTTATTGTATCAGGCTTTAAGAAAGTCTTATTTTGTTTTTATACTCTGTACATGAAATGTACAAGAGTATATTAGGTTTGCGGGAGCTGAAAAATGTAACAGGCAGAAGGAGGCGTGGCAGACCCCACAAAGTATATATATTCTTGATCAGCATGACGAGACGAGTCGATCTAGCCCTGTCTGTCTGTCCGTCTGTCCGTCCGTATGAACACCTGGATCTCAGAGACTATAAGAGATAGAGACACCAAATTTTGCACGAAGATGCGTTATGTGTGTATTCTATACGAGTTTGTTTTATTTTTTTGATTTCCCCCCCCACTTCCCCCCTATGGGGGTTTTCCCGATTTTCCATTCGTATAATCGCCTATATCTCGGAGACTATAAGACCTAGGAACACCAAATTTTAGTCCCAGATGCCTTATGTGAATACGCAGAAAATGTATATTTTGGAATTCCCCTCCCTCCCCCCTCTACCCCGCAAATCGTAACTCCCGTAATTCTTGGAATTTCGAACTAAAATTTTGGAAATACCCCCAGTTAGTTATTATGTGTCCGTATGCCAAATTTTATTATGATAGACCGATTTAACAAGAAGTTATAGCCATAAATATATTTGCTGATGCAGCGCTGCTGCAGCGCTGCTCAAGCGCTGCCCGCGGCTGTTGTTGATGTTGCTGTTTTGTTGACTGCGAAAATGCTTACACAGACACGAATTGATGCGCATAGGCATACATACACTCACACAGACGAAATTGCTATGTAAATGTGCAATTATACACCCTTTACGTGAGTTCGAATACCGAGAGAGGTAAAATCGATCAAATTTTTTTTTTTTATTTTCTTAATTTTTTTTATTTTCTATAATTATTGTAAACATATGTACAGAGTATTTCAATGTCGGGACACCCGACTTTAGCTTTTTTACTTGTTTAATTTTAATTACTCTTAGCTCTTACTTATTAAACATATAAATAAGTTGATTTAAAACTCACCTCCTTCGTCGGTCATCACCAGTATGGTTGTTTCTGGGCCCAAGCCCTCTGGATTGAAAACCTGCACGGTCACTTTGTATTGCGTGTAGGTTTCCAGATTCTGTATTTCATGGCTCTGCAATGAATGAGGCAAAAGTTGAAAGAAATATGAAACTCGAGCAAACTTTTATGGTTTCTGCATTTTACGAAAAATCCAAAAATAAGAATACTTATAAAGTCAAGAAGCACTTGCCGTCGTCATCTCTGTCGATCTCGTCGAAAAGTGAAAAGTTTAAGCGGAAATTGGGCGTTGCCCATTTTTAAGATGCAACGCCAACACGGTGGCAAAAATAAAAATTGCAGCTCTTGAGATACATATATTTGCAGTGGCGACACGTCGCCGTGAGAAGTGGATGGATGTTAAGGAAATTGAGTTCCGTTGGCGTTTCGTTTTAACCACTACTGTTAATTTTTTGCACACGTGTACACTGGGGCTTAATTATGGAAACAGCCACATTCAGATTAATGTTTATATATATTTATATGTTTTATTCAAATCCGCTTTAAGTTGTTTGTTCGTTGCCAAGTTGGCCTTCTAAATCTGCGCGCACTTAGCTACTAAGCGATTTTGTTGGGTGGCGCATCCTCCTGTGTGGGTTATTAAAATTTAACGAAAGGTCAAAAGCAGTGCGAAACCATAAAACAAGCCACAGACTTGAAAAAACATACGACACACTCCAACTACACACAAGCACACGTATGTAACTAAAGAGGCTGGCCCGTTGTTGCTAACAGTAGAAAACACAAATTATGTAGCATACATTAGTGCGCCGGCCACGACTGTCTCTGTGCCGAAACCATGGGCGTACGATGTGGCCGTCAGGGCGTCATTTCAACTCTTAAAATTAATATTTCGAAATGTTTAGGAATATAAATGTTAATCAAAAATTCAATTCGTTTTGTGCTTAAGAGGTAAAAATGAAATACGTGTCTTGGTACATTTAAAAACTAAATCTGTGGTTTAATAAATAAAATGTTGAGCGAATTAGCAATTTTAAATTTATAAACGATTGAAACATTCCAAAAAATATAAACAATTAAATGGTTATAAGTTGAAACAAATGTACGAAGCGAAAGAACAAAATAACAGAGCAGCGAAAACTCTTAAGATGGTTTTTAAAGCTAGCACAATTTCATAGTTCTCTGCAAGTGTAAAAAGTAAAGTTCAAAAATGAATCCATCTGATTAAAACCCCTTCAGAAGGAATGTTTTATTGCTTACCTCTTAAAAGAAATTTAATGACAAATGTTAAGAATGGTAAATAAAAAAATTAATATACATAGAAATTGGATTTTTTTACGATGATATTTTATTTGCATTTATTGTAATTTATTTTAAAAGCCCTAAAAACTGTATATTAAATAAAATGCTATTAAACATTTTATTCGCTGCCCCCTAACATCATTGGTACGCCCATGGTTGCGGCGATATATCCCAAAGCAGAGCCGTTCGTCTGTCTGTCTGTCTCTGTTGTTGCCATGAAGCATGCGGTTACACCACAAAGCAACAACAGAGCCAACAACCAACGAGCTGGCTCTCGTGGCCGTGCGGTGCTTCGGCCCTGCTTAGAAACGGATTGACTGCCATGCCAGAAGCTTAAGTGGCAGTTGGGCTTTTTAGGCGTGCTCTTCCTGAACTTCTTCTCCTCCGACCACTGGGCTTTGATTTAACTAGTCCGTGCCTCATTGTAGTTATTTTTATGTAAGCGCAATATCTTTTTGGGAGCGCATGTGTTAGTGTGCGTGTGAGTGTGTGTGTATGCGGTTTAGCTGCGTTGGCGACGCTAATACCGCCATATAATTTCAGTTTATGTAGTCGCCAGGCGGCTTTCCTCTTAGCTCCGAGAGGAGGCGAGTGAGAGTTAATGAGCGTGGAAATTTACAACTGTTGGTATTTTTATGGCAGTCCAAAGTTATTTCTGTCCACTGTTTGGTTGGCCTTGTTAATTGATTAAGTTAAGTGAATACTAAAGTTAGAACAATTCTTGTGTGGCAAGAAGCGGCCATTTTAGCTATCGTTTAGTTTAAGTTTAACGTATTTTAACAAAAGACGGATGTTAAGTAATTCAGGCAAAAAAATAGAACCACCAATAAATACCGCACAAACTGCTTTCTATTAGCGAGCATAAAACAGCTCCAGAACTCAAAATTAGAACCATCAAGGCTGGTATGATAGTTTATCGTAAAGGTGGTTTCTCATTGAAATGGAATTGAATATAGGAATTCCCTTTAGGGAATTAAGGAAAATCTAGCTGACAATAAAAAAGAATGGCAACAGCCAGGTTAGGGAATTCTCTAAATGTAGCGGGTTTAATATCTTCGGAAGATAGAAATAGCGGGTATCAGTTTTCTAAAAAAAAAAATTGAATACATTTCTGAGGCAAATGGCGTTAATTTCATCGTTAATATCATAGCTAGACGCTACTAAATGTTAGCGTTTGGTCGTGGGGACTGCTGAACAATAATATATGGCTATGGGTCACAAAGTTAAAATTCATTATGAGATCCTATAGTGCCAGATGTCTCTCGTTTATTTCTGTTTCGTGGAACATTGATGCTACAAAACTATAACAATCAAAGGCAAAGCAAATGCAATCAAATACTTAAGTTATTGCTTATTGTATGTTAGGAGGAATGTTCTCTTGATCTTCATCTTCATATTCATCAGCAATGTAAAAGACACGTCGATATGTCTCCGTTTCTGGGTCCCAAACAATATATAAAATGACGACAAGTCCGTCACTTGCTTCTATAGTTTGTGGTAGCTCATCCATAATTTTTTCGGTACAGTACCCTCTAATATCTATATTTGCCCAGGGTTTTGGAAAAATCAGATATTTTTGTTTGTATAATTGTGTTTTTAATTTATATAGGACAGACTTGACAGAATTCAAACAGTTTAACAATGTTTGACAAACCAAAGTATGGGCTTCTGATGCTGAATAAAGATTTATTTTTTACATTATACTCGCATGAAGCCACTGTCTTATGCCAACCAAAAACGGTTTAAAAACGGTTTTTTTGCATTCTAAAAAAAAGATGTGTCGAAAGAGTACAATTTTGTAAAATAAAATAACTTTTTAATGTTCTCTAATGTAAGAACTTTCGGATAAGTTTCTCTGTTCTTAGTTATTTTTCCATAAAATGACAACAATAATATTATCAATGATGAATTATTCGTTAGTTTCAATATTTTAGATAACATTTTGTAACTATTTCAAAAGGTTATGACTAGACTTAAAGTAAAGTCGAAATTTTAAGCTGTGCAATAAACAAAAAGTGTTGTTACTTTTTAGCCTTTTCTTTTGACTTAGTCTTTTAAAGCCATTACTTTAAAAAAAAACGTGGTCTAGTTTATAGAAATATATTTTACTGAGAGCTTATCAACAAGTTTTGATTATTATTTTCCACCCATTCTTAAAACTACACTTTTAATAACACATGTCTGTACAAAGGTCTACTAGTGCTATGAAATAAAATGCATGCACTTTTAACTTGAAAGCTGTGTTGTATTGAAAAATAAGAGTGTGTATTAATTATGGTTAGATAAATTATTTTCCAATATTTTCCACAATATATTCACATATGATCTAGTTTGCGACTTGAACAATCCTTTATGTGACTAAATATTTATGGCTTGCTTTTAATTTATAATTCCTGTTAGGAGCTTTATCACTTTTCTTAAGAAAAATCATGCATTTTACAGTGCTCACAATATTAAATTCTATAAAATTTGCGTCATATAGAAAACCCAGTTGAGAAGCAGCTCTGGCTGTCTATAAAATTGGCCAGATGTGCGTGAAAAAAGGGAACGTAAGCAACAATTTTTGTTTAATTTTATACACCATTTTTGTGTTTCTTAGTAAAAATGCAGCCAACCAATTTTGAAACTGGAATTTCACAGACGCCGTGATGCGCGCGTTCTTTGGACGAAAAAGTTGCCACACAGATAGACGCACTAATACGCACGCACAACTGAAACTGCAGCTTACTTAACGGGCATCCTCAATTTTACTTTTGGACTGTGAGTATGCGTGAGTGTGTTTGTGTGTGTGAGTGTGTGTGAGTGTGTGGATTTTTATCTGCATAAAAGTTGAAAAATTTATGCTTTACAGGGCAGAAATTTTAATTAGAAAATTGGAAAATTTAGCGCACAGATAGCAGCACACGGAGCCACCACGACAATGGCTCTGGGTGTGGAGAGGATGTGGGTGCAGGTGCAGGTGCAAAGCTGAATTCCACGTGACAGCTCAATATACTCGTGCTCGTCTATGTACTATACATGTTATATAGCAACGAAATTAGTGATATACTATATATGCATCAGTGAGCCAAAGCCCAGAGCACAGCAGCATGTTCAAAAGTTACATTAAATCGTTAGCTTTTAAGAAAAATAATAAAAAAAAGCGAAAGAAAGAGCGAGTAGCAGTAGCAGCGGAAAAGCGGGAAAACGACTTAAAAAATGAAGTCGCACGTTTCTGCCTGCAAGGATAATATTTCAACATGGCAGTGACATGCAAAACGGCGTCGAGCAAAAAGAAAAGTGTTCACCAAATGTAGCCCCAAAATGCCGTTGGGCTGCCAACTGAAGGACAAAAGGGGTTGGCTGTGGCGGTCGCGTCTAGATAAGAGTTGCAAAATATGCACTCGAGCACAAAAGCGTGCAAAGCAAACTACTTACTACGAGTACGTTCGCGTCCCTGAGCCCTAGTCATAACAGTACTCCCATTCCCACTTACATTCCCAGTTACCAGTTCCAGCTTTTTGGCATTTCCGCCAACTCGCGTCGAGTGCCGTACGTGAGCATTATCGCTAATAATTTTTGCATATTTCTAAGCCCGGCCATTTTAAACGCATCGGCATAGAGCCGCACGCTGGCATTGCAAAAATACAAAAATGCCAAAATGCATTTCGTGTACTTGCGCTGCATATTATTGGTTTAAATGGCAGACATACACGACTACGAGTATGAATGGAGCGGAAAGGCTGGGGCTGTGAATGGAATTTAAAATTGGTCAAACTATCAATATGAGAATGCAGCCTGATGAGAGCTCAACGGAACATTGAAGCGATTCCTTACAGATTAATAAGCTAATAATGGACAGCATTTTAGATCGCGATTAGCTTCTCGGCATTTGTCAGCAGTTGCTGTCATTTTCATGAAACTACAGACATTTTCAACTCTCTCAATCGAGTTTGTCTACAGAAAGCTTTTGTTTGCTAAAAATACATCATTCTACCCAAAATCAAGGCACACATATAAACTGTGGACTGATAATTAAAATCTGATGAGGGTTAATTGATCTGTGGCTTATTTAGAATACTTAAAAAAGAAGATTAATTTTTAGTATTGAAATATTTCAGGGACTGCAAATAATGATTATTTTGTTATTTTTAAACGACAAAATCATTCACTTATAGTAACAGGGTCTTTACAGATAACCATTTGTACCATGATTTATATTTTTTAATTTCTATTCAATCACTAAAAATTTAAGAATAATTTTTGAGTGTTTTTTTTTTTTTTTTTTTTTTTTTTTTGATTATTTTATAATGACTACAGTCCTTGAAAGATACAATTTAAGTTTGTTTGTAGATTGCAGTTTGTTATATGAGTGTTTTATTGGAGCAATAGAGGGAACGATATCTTCAAGTGAGAACAGTAGCGGGAATTTCGAGTTTCTTGATCAGCATCTGCCACCAAAATAATTGGTGGATTCGTCATCCTTCACGCACAAAGAGAAGCGACTATTGCACGACTCTACAAGCATTGATCAAGAGATGTTGTGGGAAAGGGGGGAGGGGGTGTAATGGCAAAATCTGCGACTAATAGCCCGAAATAATTGATTAATACGTTTTGTATGATAAATATTGTTACAGTCTTGCTCAAATCGGAGCCAAATAGTACAATTTCTGTAGTATGTGAGAACGTGATTATGACCTGCTTATCGTTTTTAACGAAGGCGCCAATTACATACATTTTTAAGGGACCATGTGTTTGAGGTTGTTGATAGAGATCCGTATAAGTATGGGGAGGCATTTGAGCTTGTAGAAAATCTGATGGAACGATTGATGACACGTGAAGGTGGGCGGCTTAATTGATGGATAAAGTCTTAAAGCTGGTCTTCTTCAGCTCAAATCTGCTCTTGCTTGGTTTGCTGCTGCTGCAGAGGGTTAATGCTGAGTTTTGCATTCAATGCATTGCAGCTGGGAACTCTTTTCGCATACGCCCCGAAGTGTTTGCACAGCTACTTACAAACAAATTTGTGCAATTGTGCCGAAAATAAATATGTATGCTTCAATGTTTATTTATGCTATTTAAGTTGAAATACTATTCTTAAAAAATCACCAACATGTCTTGCCTAAAATTGAGCAACTTGTTGTAGTTGGGTTTGAATATCCAGCTCGTCAAGTGTATTGCTTTAGTTTAATACCTTAGAGTCGTTAAATAGAAATAGTCCGATTAGTAATTCGGCAAGGTAAAAAAATTTATATTCAGAGCCTGAATTGGAGCATATTTTATTTTATTTTTATTGCAAGTACATATAAAAATTGAGCTGAATCCAGAATTCTAGTCTTTTTGTTGCGTTTTGTGTTGACACTTGAGTAATTAAATGCAAAAAATTAAACAACAAACTCGACATATGCTTAAAACGATGACAGAGCTCTAGTATATTTATGGCAGATAACTTTCCATCGTAGTTGCTATAAAACCCTTAATACATAAGGTGTTTGGCTTTTTATTTTAAATTTAATTTTCTCATATATTTGAGCTGGTTTCATTTGTGCGCTAATCACTCGGCATAAGTAGTCGTTTTATAAATAAAACACACTCCATCGGCATTTCTAATCTCTAACAAACTGCTTGCGTTAATAGGATTTTCCACCGATATGTGGCATGCTATAGTGTTGCCAACAAATATGGCCAGGTCTGCGGCTATAAATACTTATTTATGCATATTCATGTACGTGCGTGTGGTTCTAAAACATGCTTGGCAGCAGGTGTAAATGACTTTTAAATACGTCACTGACGTGGCTTTAAGCCGCGCGAGCATTACACGCCACTGCGTCAGCAATGATGGCAGCAATAAAAGAAACAACCAACGGCAACACACACACACGCACACAGACAGATGGAAAATCTGTGGTATACTCGTACTTAAAGGGAGCCTAGCGTTGATGAGGCAGAGACTTGAACATGCAGCGTTAGGCAATTGAAAAAGCTCGTCGGCAGGACGACATGAAAGGGTAAAACAGCAAATGATATGCACGTCGCGAATAGTCGAAAGGACGTGCGACCATTTGATAGACAGACAGACAGGGAAGCAGGCAAGAAAAAATGATATGAAAATCAATGAAGCTGAAAGCGCACGAATGGGAACAAAGTGTCAGAAATCATGAAAATCAATTATCTTTGGCTTCTACAACTAAATAATTCAGAAACATGAACTTACCTCCACGGTGTTGTCCCGTATATAGATTTCTTTGGTATCATTGGGATCGCGATCGCGAGGACGATATGTAATGCGATAGCCCAGAAATTCGCCCAATATGGTGTCGGCTGGAGGCGGCTTCCAGGATATATAAACCGATGACGAGGACGTATTATGCGCTGTTGTTGGTATTGGCTTTCCCGTGGGCGCTGCAGAAATGTAGGGCGAGAGAAAGAGAGAATGGGGTTGTGCGTTAGCATGGTTGAGCAAAAAGTTTGACTGGCAAAAGTTTCAAAAACTCAAAATTTGAAATTAAAATTGCAATGGGCGTGCGCGGGTCTGGCAAAAGTTTTTCGGTCATGGGTCTTCCGAATCCCCCCAGCGTCTCCTGTCATGTAAGTGGAACGTTGTCTGTGGCATTGTCAAGTTGTCACGCAACATAAGTTGCACAGGATCCGCGTCTGCGTCCGCGTCCGCGTCCACGTGCGTGTCGTGGCAAGTGCTCGCGCCTATAGATAGGCAACGTTTCAGCTTTTTTTTCTTGCCTCCTCGTCGCTAAAACCATGCAGCGCATTAAGTTAAATGATGCGTGTGTCGCACCAATGCCTTAGCCCAGCAATATTTTAGCTGTGGGTTGCACATGAGTTGCCATGAGGTGAGACTCAGGTAGCACTTCGTCAGCAGTTTGGCAGTTTCCGCCTCACAAATGGTGAGAGTCGACGCGACGCGACCCGACCCGGCCCGACCGCCCAACGACAAATACTTCATTGAACTTATAAATAAATTAAAATATATTTTTTTGTCTTCTGCTTTGACATTGATGTGGCGCGCTTTGCAAGCTTTCGCCAATGCGGACTGCCAGAAAATTGAAAAGTTTGTATTCGTATTTGACAAGCAAAAAGATTGGTCTTTCTTTATTTCCCACAACAATGAGACATCATCCTTTTATAAATGCCCTCCGGTAATAATAGATTACGATTCTAAACTTATTTTATTTGATTAAATTCATTCTGAAATTGTTGTTTATGTATGTACAAGAAGCATAACATTCACAAAGCTGAAAAGAAAGATATCTGTCAATTGAAAAGAACTTCAATTTGAAGAGGCCTTTATTTCTTGAAATCGTAATAGCTTTATAGTTCATAAAAACAGAATTCATTTTCAAAGGGATTTTTTGTTCAGAAATAGTTGTTTGTATTGAGTAACATAATCGGCTTGAATATTTTGTTGTATTCTCGTTTGATCTCAAATCTAAATTGCATATACCTGATTTAAGTAAAATAAGTTCAGCAGATCATAAAAATAAGATAAAAATCGCAGTTCTCTTAATTGAATTTTTATTTTAATTGCCGTGGCAATATATTTTATTTAACATTGTCCTTGGCTGTTGAAAACTCACCCTGACTTCTATTTAATTAATATCGATGCTCTTATATATATTAGTTCTTTGTTGGTCATTATCTTAGTGCTCTAATTGACCACCAACCTGTAACTTTCTCTATATCAAACATTTCCATTTACAAGGAAAAATGCACTGAATTATTGAGGTCGTGCTGTAGTTTTCGACTCGACTTCTGCTTTTGAAGCTTGTTGTTGTTGCTTGAGTTGTTGTTGCTGCTAGTCCAATGTTATTTGGTTAATTTATGCATGCGACAAGCTTAATTGCAAATTGGCAACGACAGCGACATTGGCATTGGAGGGTGCTGTGGCCGCAGAAATGTCGTGGTCTAGGTTGTGTGGAGAGTGGCCGGCATAAGTAATACTATAGTCGCATAGTATTGACTAATTTGTAGCCGCAGATGTTGCTCCACAAGGGCAACAACATTAGCAGGAATGGAAGCAACTATTGTGGCAAGTACTCAACTATTTTGGGTCGCATTCCAAGAGGACATATACTCGTATCTCGCATGTATATGTGTGTGAATGGAATTTCAAGCCAAAGAATTCATTTAGACACGGCTCGTTCATAAGACAAATGTGCTGCTAATAGCTTACCGTTGTAAGTGGGCGGGCCAACGAGGCGGTAGGTGTGGCAACATGCGTGGTGATTAACGTACGATGTACTCTTCATGCAGCCTATCGATAATTTGACTTTGCAGCGCACAAAAGTATGCTACAATTTATCATTGTCCGTCGCAACATAGCACCGCAGGTACAACAACAACAAACACTTAAAGCTTGACAGCAACAACAGGTGAGTTGCCACCAGCGGCTGACCCAACCATTGAACCACAAACGTCATTTAGAGTTGACCGCGTTGCGTAATTGGCGCTGCACGCGCGCTCAATAAAAATGCTAAGTTGAACTTCCGTCTGTGACGAATTGCCGAGGCACTACGTGAATGGGTATAGGTGTTCGAGAACGTATTAGCGATATGTGTCAGTTAGTGGGGATGTGCATTAGCCTGTGTTAAATAACCAGTGCTGTGCACTTTAAGTCAAGAGCAATCACTAACAGGAAGTAGGCACTTCTTTCATGGGCACAATATTTGATGAGCTTTTCTGGATATACATGTTTTTTTTAAAGCACAACATTAACCGGCAATGAAACTTAATCAATTATTAGTCATTTAATGTCTGATCAGCATTTTATCGAATGTTAAAATCGAGTCGTATGTTTGGAGCCGTAGCATTCCAAAGCTTGATATTGTTCTCATTCTTAAATGAATTGAATCGAGGGGCTTTTTTACTCATTCCTATCGAAAGTAGAGGAAAAAGTTCTTAATTTTTTGACTTCTTAGTTCTGAAACTACAAAAGGCTTTCTGGAATAAAAGTGAAACCACTTTTTAATGTACTTTTATTTATATCCCATTGTTGGGGTTTTGATATGCATATTTCTTAATTTGGGTCGTTGATGTAAAATTCCTTAAATGCGAAAATTGTGTATTGGCAACCAAAATGTTCTCTTGCGCTCCAACCAAACCAATATATTCAGTATCTTATACACCATTCTACACACATTATTGATTGAAACGATTAACAAAAATCATCTCGCTATACCTTTATTGCACATCGGAGGCCTCCTAATTTAAAACCTTACATCACATTTGCAGGCTATTTAAAAGGAAGTTAGATCAGCCAAGACTTAGCAAAAATGTTCGAATATCTGCCACTGTTTCAAAATTGTCACTGTTCGATTATGGATAAAAATACTATAAGTATATTAATTTTCTTGAATAAAAATCAATGGAAATAAATTGCTGTTGTTAACCTAGTTCCTGCAATCCTATCATATTTCAATATTCATGAACAACACTTTTGTATTTATGTCGAAATGCATGCAATGCATTATTTATCATCTGATAAGATTACTGTTTGCATATGTATTTGAATAACTTAAAGTGCCATAAGTAGGTGCTTTTCATATTTAGTTTTATATAAGCTGCATTAGGAAATCTAAAATTTATTTGAAATTATGCAAAAAATGAGGAAAACTAATCTGATATAATGATAAATAACAGCATTTTTGTAGCTTTTTCTTTGTGTAGCAGAATGCCACATTAAAATTGGAGATGAATTTATCAGGCTACTTATTGAGAAATGCTGTTTAGCCATACGCCTAGTTAGTAGAACTGCCTTGGCATAAAATATTGCGCCCTTTTAAGATCAATTGATTTTTTCAAGAGCTAGATAAATCACAGCAACGCAATTTAGTGACACCTCTCTGATAGCGAGCACAATGTAATCTTCAAAAGGTGTTGGCGAAACACGCGCGCGGTTTTCGCGCGCATACCAATCAACAAATGAACCTGTACGTGTGTGTTTGTGTGTTTGCGTGTATGCCTGTCAATATTTGCCAATATTGTGGTTATCACTCTGGGCTCTACCGCAACTGAGGCGTCGCCTCAAAGCCCCTGCAATGACAAATCGTCACAGATTGCGTATACGCCACGTTGTCACGTGGAGAATGTAAATGGCAAACGGCAATTAAGGGAGACGCGCTTCACAAACACAAACAAAAACAACAGCAGCAGCAGCACCCCAGCTAGCGGCTGTAAAAGTTGTCAAGTAACTTGCCCAACAGGGCTGACAAAAACACATCCACAACCACGCTCGTGTGCAGTGCTGCAGCGTGCCAATGAAATGAGCATAAATGCGAATGTAGGCTCTAAAATTTAAGTGCGTGTAGTTTGCTCAGCTAAATGGCAGGGACGGGGTTGCGGTTGGGGTCGGGGTCGTTGTTCATGTTATTGCCGGGAGCTCATAAAACAAGATGATGCACACACATGCGCACCTCAAAGTGCGCTCGACGTAAAAATAATTAAACGCACACAATGCTGACGGCGACTTTATGAGACAGTAATTGTTGGCAGGCAGGTGAGCAGCAGGATGGGTCTGGAGTGGGTAGGTTGAGCCTTTAGGCTGGCCAACTTTGGACGGGCGACACTTAAAAGTCAGTGAAATTGAAATGCAAAATTAATGCGCATTAAATGCGACAGTAAATAAAACAAAACAAAAAGAATGTGCCATGTCTTGCCGAAGGTGCTCGCTTAGAATAGTGCGATAGGTTGTCTGGCCATTAAATGCGGTTGTGCATGTGGTTTATGGTCCCATTGGGTTATGTATGTCCCATAATATGGTGCAAGAGGTGCAAAGACTTCGATTCGAACTCACCCTCACGCAGCGTCACAATGTAGTAGGACTCCTTGGACGGTGGACTGACGCCGAGCTTGTTTACGGCCAGCAGGCGAAAGCTGTAGACGGTGAAGGGCGTCAAGCCGGTCACTTGATATGATGTTGCATTTGTTTTTGTATAAATGCGTACCACTTGATCCCAGAGGCCATCCTCGCCCTCGCTGCAAAAATAAGTAATTAAGAGGGAGAGAAAAATGAACACATTATTTGAATATTTTTGCAATAGCAAGTTGAAGGTGAAGTGAAAACTTAAGCTTAGCTTGCAATACTGCTCAGTGATTTATAAGTACTGTTGGAGCGGAATCCAGCAGCTTACTTATCAAAATTTTGTTTTTTTTTTTTAAATCAAATTAACTATCTTTAAAAGAAAATATAGGATATCATTATGCAAACGAAATTGAATCCAGTGGAAAGTCTAGTTACAAGAACCATGGCTGTAAAGTATGGGACATATAAGAGTTCACATGATTATAAAAAAATCTTTATTTTATACTACTATTGTATAGTATAATCAGCAAACAAATAATTTGTAGAGCGTAGAAATAAAATAAAAAAGTACTAAATCTCCAAGTCGCTGTTTATAAATATTAAATTGCTTTAAAGCACATATCCAATATTTTTTAAACAATTCCATCGATTTTTAATTTGTTGACATACCAGATTTTCAAAGGGCATTGTCAAGAATTTGATTTTAATTAAAACAGTTGAGCCTAGATTATTCATGTTGCACGGAAAATCAAACGACGCAGTTTAAAAGCATCAGAAATTGTTTAAACATTAAAAAATTCATTATTTTCATTCATAACCATATATACCCGCATACATATAGATATCATATTTTATTTCATAAAAACATTCAATTTAAAAACATCATTAAAAGCAGACACTCTATACTTTTTGGGGTTTGATTACTGTTCCCTTAAATGAGTTTGAGTGTAATTTGTGTGCATGTGTAGTGCATCTGGGTCTGAAATTTGTGTAAAATTTTAGTTTTCTAAGAACCTCAACAGAAAACTACAGCCTTTTATTGTCTGCGCCTTTCGTCTTGGATTTAGGGAACCATGTATACGGCTCAAAGAATGTAATCCGAGATTCCACTATATGAACAATATTCAAACGTTTAGATGAGAGTCTTTGATATCAAAGCCGAAAATGGAAACTTCCTAAATTTCTCATATGAATTTAAATATTATTAGTTTGTGCGCTCAACACAGCTTAGTCAATGTTTGAAGCACTTCTGTTATAAAGTCATACTCTAAGTCATACTCCGGTTATGATCCAGATTCAGTAAATGATTGCGGATACTTCTAGCTGCAGTTTTTGTTGACCTTTGTACAATTAGCGTCATCTACACCTATGTTGATGTCCAACGTCCAAACAACACGTATACAACTGGAACCTCCCCACTGCAACAGATAACAATATTTCCCATTTATACCACTTATATTCCTCATTCGGACACACATAATTAAATTTAATCCACAATCCATAAATTCATCGCAAAAAGTTGATTCAAAAGCATTTTTGGAATATGCTATAATATTTTTATTTGAATTCAACGTGTGTAACTTTCATTTCGCTTAAGAGAGAACATTTGAAAATTTATATTGCAATTGTCGCTCGATATTATTTATAGAAAATACATATTTTACTGCTTCAATCAGCAGACAATGAATGGGTGCTCAATAAATAAATACGCAGCATAAATTATAAGCATAAGCGTATTATGAAAATTGCATTAAATGCATTATGAAAATTCATAAAAATAAAAAAAAAATGAATGGAAACAGTGGTCGATTCCGAAGCAAAGTGAAAATCTCTGCTGGGGTTCGTTTGTTTTATTTGTGACCTCGGCGTCGCCATGAAAAGTGTTCATCGTTCGCATAGGCACTAAAATATTTATACGCTTTTTACTCCCACGCACACATTCAGCCACCAAGCCCACACACACACACACACACAAACACATAGAAATGCGCGCGAAAAAACAAAATGGCAAATGTCTGATTTTGTTGTTGTTGTTGTTGTTGCTGTAGAGGGCGCACAGAGCGCGCATAAATTACAAACAGGCAACGCACAATGAGCATTTTTCATGACAAATTTCAAAGAGTACTAAATTTTTTTAAAGTCACATAATTTTAGCATATTTTTTAGCGCACATTTTGGGGCTGTTTCTTTTAGCGTCTATAAAGTGGTAAAAGCATAAATTTAACACAAAATGCCAGTGCCTGTGTATGTGTGTTTGTTTTTGCATATGTGAACTTTATATTATTAAGGATTACGAATATGTATGTGCGACGATTTGTGTGTGTGTTAGACTATGAATGTGTGTGTGTGTTTGTGAGTCTGCATAATCTAAATCGACAATTTCCACCTATGATTAACAAAACACATTAAATATGAGTTAAGAGTAGGCCAAAGTTTACTTTGCTGGCTTACTCAAGGCTTGCAAATATTTGTTCTCCTATTTTTAGAAAATGTATATAATTTAGGGACGGGATTTTAAGTCATCAGTCGAAGAGATATCAGTTGTATCAAGTATCTATTTCCTTCTTGAATTAACTTAATTTACAGTGATTGTGGACGCATCTTTAGTATTTGTAGCGACTATATGGAGAGGCAGAATACTGCTATCGAGCAGTAAGTTCTTTTACAGTCAGTACAAGTAATTATATTATATGCATATATGTTATATGTTAATAAGTCAGACACGAACAAATTAACTATTTTAGTGACTGACGAATACTAAAATAGCTTTCAATGAAAATGTTGATGTGTTAAAGCAGTTTATTTAAAAATATGTGATCTCTGAAACTATTAGCAATAGAAGCATAGATGATTGTATTGGGAGTAGGGTTTATTATTATAATCATCGAAAAAGAAAAATAATATTTTCCGTAGTTATAGCTGTTGAGTGGATGTCTTTTAAAAATGTCTAATTTTCAATTTTTTACACACAATTAAGTGCGGATGTACTATATGTAACAAACAGAAGAACCACGCAAAAGTTTCGGATAGTGAAAGGGCTAGAAACATTACAAATTTGTATTTATATAATCTTAGGCCCAAAGCAGGACAAGCTGGTGTTTTTTCACCAGTTTGAATTTTCTAGGATTCTATGAATTTGTACCCTAATTTAAGAATTGCTGTACGTTGGTGCTTATTTGTCCTTAATTTTCAGGTGATATGTCAATTTTATAGAAAGCTATTTGGTGCCACTCTGTGTTGCACACAAACGCGTTGTTATGTTGTTGGATTTGTAAAGCATAGCTATAGTAAATATTAGTCATTAATTGTTAAAAGAACAATATTTGTACTATTGTACTTCAAAATCTGTTAAATTTTCCAAACGATCAGCTTATATGACACTTGATTGAAGATTCACTTTTAAATTAATTTTGGACTGTTTAATGCGTTGTCCAAACATGTTGTTGGTCTCAATATAAATTATAGATTATATAATAATAACTTTTTCAGGAATATTTTGCATGCACTTGATGTAATTTTTGGCAAAATCTGGTAGAACAGAGAAAAAATACACTTTTACTGACAAAAAACGGACACAATGTTGTGTGAAAAAAAAACATCAAAATTAATAAATGCAGCTCGCCCTTGTCACATGCCTGTGTGTGTGTGTTTGGACATTTAGTAAAAACAAGCTGGTTGCATGCCCCGACGCACGTACGCCGTAAAGTATGCAATATGTGAACAAGCACCCGCACGATCGCAAAACAGAAACAAAACAAAACCTTCTCGACTTTATAAAACATGCAAACGTAAGCGGCACCCGCAGGCTCGTGTAAAAACTTATGAAAAATGTAGAGAGCCTAAAAAGTGGCCACCACCGCCATCACCACCACCACCAACAACAACTACACGAACAACAGAGGCAGCTACGACGCCATGAACAATGCCAACAACAAAGTTAACGCGCCGACCCAACCACAATGGCAAATAAATTTGTGGCTGCTGCCCATATTGATGGTGTATTGAGAGTCTGTGTATATATAAGCGCATGTATGTGTATAAGCAAACATGAATTGCATGTTTTTATAAGCCGCTTAAATATTGCCACACACACACAAGCACAGAAGAGAGACGTATATGCATATTTTCAGATACACCCATGTGTTGTGAATTGTATTGTATTGTAAAAATTGTGCGACACAGTTCATGCACAAGTTGTTTAAACAGAAAGAATTTACTGGCAGCTTGCCCATGAAATATATGAAACGAAAATAAACTGAAACCTCAAGATAATGCGCAAATAAAATGCCATGATTAATAAACAAATAGTACGAGCATGTGGGCAAATGCGTAAATAAGTATGTAAATATAATATATAAGAATATACAAGTATATATATATTTGTTGTAAAATATTAAAACACAATTATTGAAGTAAATAATGCAGTTTAACGAGCATCTAATTGACCGAATTAAAGCCTATAACAATATTTTTCTGTTTAAATATAAACACAAACAACAAGAGTGTAAAATAAATAATGATGGATTACGGATGTCACGATTATGTATTTGCTGACACAATAACAAAGGCACAGTACATAAATAATGAATAATTATAAATATTTAAATTAATTGATATACACATTCTACGAGACAGTCGACAAAATTATTAATCTGTCTATGCTCTTATCGGAATCTTCAAACATAATTAAAAGTAAATAAATAAATAAATTTTAATAATATTTCGGGTAATATCGCTAACAGGAATAAAACTTGTAAGAGTGCTAATAATAATTGAAAAAAATATTATAATTCAATTGCTAATACAAGTATTTGTGAAAGCTGCCCTGTTGCGTATATAGAAACTATAGCAACAAATCATGGAATAAAAACAAGTGATTAACTTTAATTTTTTCTAAAATTATTCACAGCCTAAAGCTTAATGCTTTGACATGCAATAGATTTAACATTCAGAACACTGATTATCAATTTGTCAGATGGACGGCCATTTTGATTTAGATTTGACGCAACTCTTCCATATGTTAGACATTTAAAAAAAAATTTGAAAACTAAAAGTGCTCGATAAAACTGTACAGATATTAGTCTAAACACATTAACATGCAAATGAACTGTAATACAGTATTTAAAAGTACTCTGTTCTCAATTCATTCTAAAAGTAAGTATTTAAAAAAATAATATAATATTAGTTACAAACATTTGCTAGACTGATTTATCGTGGTAATGTGAATCATCCAATTTATAGGAATAACGCTCCGTCACACAACACACACACAAATTATCATTCAAGTTCAATATTTGGTAGCAAACATTATAAATTTGTAACCACATATGTGTCCAGGTGAGTGTCTGTGTGAAGCGAAATGAAAACTGAAAATCAACATGAATTGATAATCATGTTGGTGGAGTCAGTCATTCGTATATATGTGCATTCACATACATACTCCTATATGCTATACATACTCGTATATCTATACTCTTGGGGCACGGTACACTTGACTTAACGCATAAAGCTTGGCACAGTTGCTGTTGTTGTTGCTGTTGTTGTTTAGCCACAAGTTATGCAACACCAACTACCACTCAGCTGAAAATATGTGCCAAAAACATAAACACAAAGCCACGCAAACACACGTACAGTAAACACTTTATGACAAATCAACAGTTATAAGCACACACACACACACACACACACACACACATACTGACATGCTATATGCACATGTGTGTGTGTGTTCTTATCTACCTTCGTTTAATGCGCAACAGTTGAGCGCCACAATTTATGGCTGACTTAATGCGTTGGCACTCGCTGTGGCACTTACTTTGGGGGATCTCATTGCCCTTAGTTTAGGGGCTCTACACGAATGTATATTCTAGAGGCCTCCCTCGCTACTCCCCAAGGGCGGGGAATGTACGCCGGTTCAACTTATTTCAATTGCATTTACATTTCCATTTCATTTGCAGGCGTAAATCCAACATAAGCATGGTGTTGTCTTCATTGTTGCTTTTTCGATTTCTATGCGATATGTTGGACAAGTGTGCCGACTTAAGCGACGCACTCAGCCATACATGCTCCCAAACAAACACACATCGACACACCGACACACACACACACACACCCACACTGCCATGTCTTTGCATACATTCTTGTATGCACACGCGCAAATAAACCGAATCAAGCGAAAATGTAAATAAAGGGCGGATGCCTCTGCAGTGGGTATGGGGTATGTGGGGGCGAGCAGAGGGTGGGCGAGAGTGAAGACAGAGCGACAACGGCTCGATATAAATTTACATAAAATGCAGCGCGTCGCTAGTTCATTTTGGGCATTGGGCGCAAGCCCCGAAATATATGCTACGTTTTATGCCCTGCACATTATCCCCCCTACTAGGTGTGCGAATGTGTGTGTGCTCGTATAGTTATTTCTTATTTTGCATAAATGCACCGCAGGCTTTGGTTTTCAGCTGCCTGTCATCGATTGCACTGTGCCTCAGTATCTTAACCGTCCTGCGCTTGACTGCCTGCCATCCCTCTCTATGCTTTTCATCGTGCTTGCCACTGCCGAGCTATAGCTCGGCATTGCTGCAGCTGATGGAAATTTATTGAAAAAGTTTCGCTTTTTGGTGTTTTTCGTTCTCGTTGCCTCCCGTCTTTGTATGCAACGTCAACGGGCGTTGCAGCGTTTTTATTTCATACCCCACATTGAGTTCAAGTTATTCGGAAAATAGCCGTACAGCCGTGCAATGCCTGCCCGACTTAACACACACACACACACACGCACACGCACAGTCATGCGTTTTAACAGAACTGCAGTTAAACGGCTTTGTCTGCCCTCAAGTGTGTGCTGGCTGTGTGTGTGCTTTTCTTTTCTATTTAAATGGAGCACAAGTGAAGTGCGTGCTGTTACGGCCTCGGCTTTAATGCCGCCTAGAGATGTCAATTAAAAAAATAAATATAGTGAGATACTCATCGGCAGTTAGCATGGCCGTATGAACATTTCAAAATTATTTTCAGTTTAGTTTTGTTTTCATTGAATGCCCCAAAAACTTTCTGTGTACCAGATCATGTGAACACATATGCATAGCTTGCCGGACTGGCTTTCAAATTTTCCCCCACCGGGTTGGAGATTTCCCTTTTACTTTTTCTCTTTATGCATAATTAAGTAGAATTACTTTTCCTTCTGGACTTACTATATTTTTTAGCCTGTTAGGTCGATAATGTCTGTGACCACATATGGCTGTGATTCGGGGCATAGCTGGCCAAATGGCAAATCAATTTCCCCCAACGGGTCGGAGGCATTAGTAGACGTTATTGCATAGTTTTTTCTTAGGCTTTCTTATCTTTTAAGTTAAAATTATAACGTTGTATTATTAAATATCTTTCTTTTATTTCATAATATTATACTATAACATAAATCATAGTTTTTGTATTTGTATCGACAGCACTATTTGTTGATTTACTAAATAAATAAATATCAAGTAATAGTTTCCTAAACCCATTGAATAGTTTGCATTAAAGAAAAGCTACACAGCAGCCAAAAAAACTACAACTACAAAGACGACCAGAAAATCATTATCGTGGCGCATTATTTTGCCTTAAAATGGAACTGAGTTCAATTTGTTAAGGGTTTTTCATTGATGATAAATATTATTATTATAAAATTAATATTTAAACGCATCGTGCATTATTTAATCAACATTTAAATTTTTATAATATAATTAGTATTATATTATAAGGATAATACTTATATTCTGCATACCAAAATTCTACCAAATTCTACTTGAATATTGCAACTGTGCAATAAACTTGTGATTGAAAAGTTCGAATACGATTTACACTTCCAGCGTTTAATTATATTTTACAATCTTACCAACTAAAATATTCTCACTAGAAACAAAAACATTATATGAAAATATTCTCAGTAGAAACAACAACATTATATGAAGTTAGTATTAATATTTTTGTCCACCAGCGAAAACTTTCGATAGGTATCTATTTGTTCAATACCTTGGTCATCGATGTTGTTCGATACATTATCTTGCTGTTTCTATTTGTGGTTCATCTCTAGATGCATTGGCAGTGGCAATGCGTTATTGTTTTACATATTAATTAAAGACAGGGCACGAAAGACTGGCGGGAATGTTCGACCACTTCCTGCAGCTGGGCAGGGAAATGTTTTCAATGCGCCGAACGGAAAGCAATAAACGCGCGTTTTTAATTGAAATCATGTTGGCATTCATTTTCATTTCAAAGATACTGGCGAGTCGGCCTAGAATGCGAGTTCGCCGCTACTGGCCAAGACACATCGGCTGGAGCAGGAGTCTTTTCTTTCTGTTTATACGCACTTATGATGATGTGCAGCGAGGCTGCGTGCTCTCATTGAACTCGCTAATTCATTAGCGCATTGAGGTCATCCTCACTCACCACGCACGCACACACACACACACAAGAACACGCACACACAGGTACATGAATACAACTATACATACAGCTCATCAACATAAAACAATGGAGGGCAACCCACTTTTCCCATCTCTGTTACTCTCTCTCCCTCTCAGACACTCTCTCTTTCTTTCTATCACAACACTTACCGTGTTTCAATAATGAAATGCGTCACGGGTGCATTTCGCGGATGCTGCGAATGCGCCCAGGATAAATTCACAGAGCGTGACGTGAAACTTATCAACAAAGGACGCTCCGGTGGATCAGGCACATCTGCAGATGAAGAAAGAATGAAAGAAATAAGCAGGACGCCGAAAAAGCGCGGATGAGAAAAACTACCAGTTATCAGTAAAATCGGAATGAAAATCATGTTGCTTGCAACGAAGCAAAAGAAGAAATAAAGCGAAAAAAAGAAGAAAAACAAAAGCTTAATGAAAACCGTGCGAAAATCAACAAAATGTATCTGTAAATGAAATCAACGCCAGTGCCGAGGAAGGAAACGGGAAAAATCATTAAAGTAGTTATGCGTTTCATTAAAGAAACAAGTCAGAGAACGTAACGCAACGGAAAGGACTCAACGTCCCGGCCAACTTGACGTATGCGTAATGTATTTTGGCCTGCCGTTGACGGTTGTGTAATTGAAATAAAGCATGGTAAGATAAAACTCAATTGGGTCGCAATCGAAATTTCGGAATAATTGTTAATGAATGCGCGTAATTTAAAGTCAGACTTACCCTGCACCAACAGATCGACTATAGCTTCCGGTATATGCCGATCGTTGACCAAACAGATGTACTCGGATGTGTCGCTTGCCAAGGCCGGCGAGAATTGCAAACCAAAATTGTCCGATAAAAGTTGAATCTGTAAGAGCACAAATAAATATAAAATAAATCCTGCTGAACTATTGTTGAGCTATGTTTTATTTACACGAAATGTCCATGAAACCTTTATGTTCGGAATCATAAAATTTATTTATAATTTGTTTAAAAGTTTAATGTTTTAGCTATTCTGTTTGCAACACGGACTCATGGAATAAAGCAAGCTTTTTTCAGTTAAAATGAAATTCTGGGCCAGTTATGGGAGACTGAAAAAATTCTTTAGATCTGTGTAGAAATGTTACCATAAGACTGCTTAATTTTCATGCGTTAATAAAAACTAATTAATATCTTTTTATGCTTCATATATACTCTGAGTTAAAAAAAGAAACAACAAAATATTCAAATACTTAAATTATTCCTGTGCAGCCAAATAAACAGCTGTTATCATCATGAATTTTCGTGAATAATAGTTATTTGTTTTAGACAGGGGAATTAATTTCTCTACAATGTGTTCGTTGCTCTTTTTTCCAAGCCACTACGGATTTATGCATACTTTATTATTAAATATTTTAAAATCTTTGCTTCTAAATTTGGCAGGTAAATGTAAACACTTTTGAAATAGACTAAATTCTGGACATCCTTTGCAGACTTTCCGTAATAATGGCAAGATATTTGCTTAACTGGAAGCGGACTTATCACAAAGCATCACTGTATTTTCGACACACAAATAGGCATCTAACAAAGAACAAATCAAAAGTTTTGTTTTAAACTTAGAAAAATTTCAATTGCTAAACCAAATTTATAGTTTGATCACCGAAGGTCCGATCGAAACTGTGATTTAATTCAGAAAGTGGCCACCTTATTAATGACAAAATAACTTCTATATACAAGTATCTGGTATAAGCGACTTCTCACGTCTTGCCTTAGTCGACATTTACAATTAACATAACAGCTAAATTGGCAAAACTGCTAAAACCAAAAGACAGGCAATGGAGAGAGGCTGACAGCAAAGACAACAATTTGGGGAACATGAGTTTCTACTTTAGGCTTCAAAAGTTTGTAACACAAAGGACAAGTAGATGAGTGCAGAGTGTTGGTCAACGGTCTGTCTGTCTGGCTGTCTGGCTGTCTCTGGTGGTAATAGCATTTGTGAAGACAAGTTCCACAGATTGCTCTCAAAGTGGCCTGCTCAGTTACTCTCTTCCCATGTTGTTGCCCAATGAGGAAATGCAACAATGCACGGTGCAGGACATAGCCAACATTTGACTCTGACGACAATTTGTAGGCGAAACTTTCTCCTGGACATGGAAAATTTGTTTTATTTTTGTTTTTGTTTGCTTTTTTTGTTGGGTTTATTTCTTTTCTGTTTGGCTTTTGTTTAGCCATTTTGCCGCAGTTGGCCTGAAATCTTTTTGTGTTCATAATTGAGTTTGGGGTTTTGCGTGCAAATTTCTGTAAATGGCTTTTAGATTTGTTGGGTTTTTGTGTTATTTAAATGCAGGGCCAGTCAGTTAGTTGGTCAGTCGCTTTGTCTGTCATTTGGTCGTTCGGTCGTTCGGTAGTTTGGTTTGCAAGCCTCAATGCCTTTTGTTGTTGGTGTGGAACACTCTTATGATTGCATGCAATTTTGAAATGCAAGCTGTTTAGCCGTCCGGCTCTCTCCAATTTTAAATGCACCCACCAGTATATGTATAAATGGGAATATATAGTATTGTGTACAACTAACTGCCTTTGTATTTGAGTTTGTTCAAGTAAATGTAATAGGGCTTTGGTGTTTCGTGTGAAGTCAAGGTAAAGCAATACAAACAGTTGCGTCAACAAACCCGAATGCTGGCCATGGAATGTTTGTTAGATTTTTGCACATTGCCTTCATTCTTTGGTGTAATTGTAATTTAATCAAAATTCTGCCGAGATCTCTAATACATACATTTGTGTGCATCAAGGGCAGTTTGAAGAGTAATGTTAAAGGAAGGCACTGCTACTTGGTTAAGCCAATATTTATAAAAACTTTCGCTGGAAACAGAGTATAATTCTGTGATGACTACAGTTACTTAATACTGACACTTGTTCACTACTTACAAGTATTTAATGTTGAATAAGGCACAACTGTGTAAAAGCTGGGAAAATATAGCTTGGAGAAGGCTTAATAAAATATACCCTCTATCTGGCCATATCTGTCAGCTCATCTCTGTCTATCCATATCTTTCTCCGTGACGTACATTAACGATATTTAATTTATGTGCCTTCGTTATTCGTTTGGTCGCAAGCACACATTCTTTTGCAATTCATAATTATTTTTGAGTTCTTGAATATTCGCTTTTTCAGTACAGTTCATATGTCTTCTCCTTAATTCGTCTTTCTTTCTCTTCAACTTTACAACAACTTCTCGTCTTGTCCTCGCTGGCCAGCATATTTCAAGTTTCAGTTGCTAGCCGAAATTATTTACTCAGCAATCTGTGTCTATGTGTGCAAATTTAACTGCAAGCTGTATGCATGTCTGTTTGGCATACGAAAATAGTCAGAAATGTTACAAATTTGCAGTCGGGCCAACCACATATGGCCCCGCAATACCACAACAGGCCTAGTCCTCCTCAATCTAATGTTTATGGCCATATCTATGCAATATTGATGCTCGATTGCATTTTATTTAACATTAGCACACAGTAAAAATATTTGGGCAATTCTTTAGTGCAGAATTTCAATCTGTTGTGAAATTTTTCGGCAACTGGCAATTTGCGAGTAAATTTTAATTACACACACGAAATGAAATTTCTTACATGTGAGTGACTTTTACTAAATTTTGCTCTTCAGATTATTTTACAAACGGATGGGGTTAGAGCGAGGGGACGCTTGGGAGTGGGTTGTCTTGATTTGCATGCTTTCTTCTTTTTGAGGTAGACATAACAAATCATGTGAAATGTTCCCAGTTGGCCGTTAGTTGGGGCCAGGATCTAAGCCTGTAAAAGTTCTGAGCACTTAGATGCCGTAGGGCATGAATCATTTTAGCGTTGCACATAAAACAAAACTTAATGGCCGCATACGTGCGACGACAAGCCAGGAGGAGGCTGTATGTATGTATGTATGTGTTTATGTGTGTGTGCGTGTGTGCGTTCTTTAGTAGTAGTTATAAAATGTACGAGGGCGCCAAGGTGCAAAACTTTTAATACACATAATAGCCAGCATAAAGTAAACGCTGCAGACATGGTCGCGCGTTTTGAAGAAAAGCAAAAAGCCATATTAGAAATATGAGCCGGAATGCTCAGCTATCCAAGCAGCCATCCTGTTGGCCAGCCATCCAGTTAGCCAACGAAGTGTCCCAGTTTGCCATTTAGCACATAGCACGGCAACGGCTGCTAAACGGCATGAGCTACTTTGATTGCCAAGCAGCGGGCCATCGTGCGCAAGAACTTTCTCCTGCCACTCCCTGCCCCCTGCCCCGCCCCCATCACCTTACTCTCTCTCTCTCTCTCTCACACACCAACAACAAACAACTTCATCATTTTGTTCGCCATTCTTTCAATGGGCCCCTGTGTGCGTTTAAACAAGCCCACCATTCACAATCTACCATCAACTAGAAAGTCGTAGTTTCTATGGCAAGTGGCAGCCACTTGAAAATATTTTGCGACGCCTCCCCTCCCCCATTTATTTTAGTATGGAACTATCAAACATTAAAAATATATTGGCGCACTTGCTGCCGCTAGTTAGGCACAGTCTTCCAGACAGCACCCACTGGTGGCCACTTAGTTCTTGTGACTTTCTTTTCCACTCTCTCTCACTTTCGACGAGTTCAAAATGCCGCCTTGTAACTGGCTATCAATTATTTTAACAGCTTCTTTTTTGCGATGGCGCGCACTTTTGAACTCCTGCATTGTGAGCCGTTCCTATTCCCCTGAAGGTCCTCGTTCTCCTTGTTGTTGCTGCTGTTGTACTCGTAGTTGGCGTTTGGCGGGTGCTGGGCATTATTTTTTCGGGCACTTCAGTGCAGCCGCCATAAAAACCATAAAGTGCAGTAATATGAAAATTTTAAATGAATTCTAATACGACGTTCAATGGGTTGCCCTACGGGAACTCTGCTTCAAAAGATTTGTGTACAGATTTCTGCAGAAAGATTGGAACTGATTAAAGAATAAGTGGGTTGGCCAGTGTATTCACAAAGAAATTGGCATAAAAATAAGTGTGCAAAGCCTTTTAGAATTCAGAGAATGAATTCGATCTATCAATGGGCTCAGGCTGTTTAATAATATTTAAACAAGATTCTTTACAGATCCCTACAATGGATATTTATATTTGATTTGATATATTTTTTGATAACTAAATACTTGTACACCAAAGCTGAGCTCTAGGCTGTTCTTATTAAAATATAAATAAATATGAAAAGGAAAGAAATAATTATTGTTGAAACCGCACTCTTAATTAATATTTATAAAAGCTATGAGAGTCAAGGCGATGATGTGATTGTGATTATAGTTTCTATAATTACAAGCATAAATATTAATCTTCATCCTGAGCTGGTGAAGAGCTAATGCCGCAGTTGTCAAACTGACGTTAAGCAGGCTGTGAAGCCATCATTGTCAATACCTCAGACAATGGCACTTCCAAGGAACCATTCGTTGAGAGAAGAAGTCCACATCCTAAGGGACTTGAAAAGCAACCACCTGATGCCCACTCGTTACATGGCGCATGACATGTTCGATTAGCTGTCGTCTAAGGATATGAAGTGTGCTTACAAGGTGGGCTAGAACAAGGACAAGAGAAAGTGCGCTTCGAAGCCTCCACTCTACGGCTGGTGTGTGTGGATTGATTGTTGCAGTCAATTGCGATTAAGCTACATGAATGCTAGCGAAAAGTGAACTCAACATGAAATAAACATATAAAATACGAGTATTTCTTGCAATAAATTCTAGCTTAAGTGAAATTAAATTCTAACTGTTGCTACCTGCAGTAAAAAACTTTTATTATCACACTTCATAACGCTTTGATTAGCCTCCGGCCGCAAATTTCAAGCCATTTGCAAGCTAATTAGGCATGAAAATTGAACTTGGAGTCGTACTCACCCTAGGGCTGTGTAGCAGCGGTATCCGATTGGCAAACTGTGCGATTGTCGTCGACGCCGTTTTCCACACCAGAGTGTCGACCAGCGAGTGCTCCGTAACGCCCGGACATGGTATCGTCACATTCTTACCCGCCTCCGCATTCACCTTCACGTAGTCCAGATTTGTGACGTCTGCAAGTAGAGAGATGCGATAGCAAGCAAGAGTTAGATCAGTGTGTGAGAAACATTTAGGGCAGGCCATTAAAAGTTCAAGCGCAGACGTTGACTGCACAAAAGATGCTTAAGTTATTTTGGCCAGAAATATTTTTGGCACACAAAAGGCAGAAAGAAAGGAAAAACGTTGTGGAAGCAGTTGCTGGCAGTAGCCGACCAAACATTTTGTTGGAAAATGTCTAGAAGGCATTTTAATTACATAACATGTTTGCCGAAAATACAAAGCCCCCAACAAATACTCACACACACACACACACACACACACACACATAAACATATACAAATTTATATGTAAGCTCTTACACTCCTTCACATGGTAAGCGTTGTACTGTAAAAGCAATTTTATGCCCAAAAGTATTCGTTGCTGCACCGGCGGCCACAAGTCGACGCCAGTTGGCCAGTTAACCAGGTAGGTGTGCATACAAGCACACACACACACACACACACACACTCGCACACACACAACCTTTTGATCCTTTGCTCCAATATTTGTTTAGGAAATTGCCAAAAATGCATTTTGGGTTTCGTGCTAGTTGAAATTTGTGTGCCAGTTTCCATCCACTTCGCAGGCCAGACCAATCCAGGCGTTGCTTCAATTAAAATTATAAAAACAACAAATCGATTGACAACACTGGCCAGCATGCAATGTCTACTGGCAGTAGGCCAAACTGTTCGTTAGTCGCCATCGTCCTTGTTGTCGTCGTCATCGTCGTTTTGCATGCCCAACTAAGCGGCTTTGGCTGCATGTCTCTGAGTCTCTGTGCATAAATTAGTGAGTGTCCAAGTGTTGGTAATAAGCATTAACATGACTTGGCTGCCAGAACACAGGAGAGTGTCTGTCCAGTCCACTCCAGTCAGCTGCAACGAATTGAGAAATCATGCTGCAAAAAACAAACACAACACACACACACACAAAAAAAAAAAGCAAATCAAAATACTACCGAACATGGCAACAGCAAGGGCAACTAGTGGCAATAACAGCAGCAATCAGCTTGCATGCAATTTGCCGTTGCCAAAAAATATTTGAAGCACCCGATGCCAGAGTCTGCTTTCTGGTCTCTTCTAGTCTGAGCTGGCTTAATGGGTAGTCAGGGCAGTCAGCATTCCGAAGCTGCAGCTGCAACAGCCATTCCCGTTCGTGATTGCAATTCAAAAATGCAATGCATCTTCGGATGGCACGCTGGGGGCTCGACTGCAGATATGATGAAGCGAGATACTTACATATACTTGTACAAGTATATGTACTATACAGGGCAAACATTTAGGAATGTGTGGTTGGTTGAGTTACATGCATTACAAAATTATTATTTCAAGTTTTTTTTCATTCCCCACAAGTTCACGTTAGAAAGTATTTTTGGGAATGGGTTTGCAAATACTTTGCAGTCTCTGGGCAAGAAAAAGCCAATTATGCTAGTCATGTTCAACCGAGTTTAATTTGTAATTCTTCGTTAGAAACTCAGTGAAATACATGTAGATACACTATTTATTTATTTGTTTAATTCAAGAAAAAGTGCATCATTTACGCTTAAATTTTGAAAATGTTTACAAGTGGGTTGTTGAAGACATAAATGAAAATGATTTTGATGCTGATTATCGATCGAATTAGAAAAGCATAAAGCCTCAGATGATAGTCGCGCTGAAATGGAAGCTAAATTCCTAATGCAATGAAGAATTTCGACACTTATCGCCCCATCCGATTTATGCGTTCGAAGCGTTTATAAGTCGTATGGTGACCCATTTGTAGCCATAAAAAAGTTGTTTAGAATTTTCGTAAAAACTATAGTAAATATAGTGAAAAGCAATTCTTTAACAGGCTGTAAATTAGGATTGAAGAAAAATAATTAATTTTCGAAATAGCACGAAACAAACTGTGGACTTGTTTTGTAAGAATTTAATGCAATCCCTTTTTTTTTGAAGGATGAAGCAATAGATTTATCCTAAGTAAATAACTACAAATCTACATTCAAAAAATGTTGACATTAGTGCGCATTAATCTGCTAGAGTTGTAAAACCCCTGCACGAAAAAAGCTGTGAGCCGCTGTTTGCAATGCCAGCTGTTTTGGGAGGAGGTAGGTCAGGCCCTTTCTTAACAATAATGTTTTGGCTAAGCTTCCCATAGAGCTACCATAGATACGAGTATGTGAGGTGGTGGCCAGGCAACCATTGCACCAAGGCAGCAGGCAGTAGAGAGTGGCAGCAGCCTGACAGCTTCTTCAGTAGCAGTTGCAGTGCAGTGCAGACCCACCGAAGTCTACTTTAAACAGCAACTAGTAATACTAGCTGGGCTGAAATTCAAGCCCTTTCTCTAACTATATAGTATTATTTTTGATTGACTTGTGCCAATCGAACGGTAGTACAGTCTATCTACAATCATAAATTCAAAACTGTAGTAAACATGCTGCTTTTGTTGCTTGCCTAAATTTGTGCGCCCTTTTGCTTTTACTTAAAATTGTTAAAAATCACGACTGATGCGGAGTTTTTACTCTGAAATTTAAAAGAAAAGAATGCAGATTCGGCTCATTCTAATCAATTGGTTGAAAAATGTATATAGCTATGAAAAGAGCAATCAGTTCTCCCGAAAGATTTGTTGGGTTGTTGTAGGTAGAAAGTTAAAAAATATCAAATTCTTCTTGTTGGCAACTATTTCCTCATATTTATATTAATTTATCAGTTTATTATGCACAAGATATGGATTTGGGGAGGCAGTAATTTATTTGGCTTTTCTAAATACCCTTATCAAATAAAGTTCGTAACTAAATAAATTAAAGTAAATATGTTCGATACGCGTATGTAAGGATTATTCTTCAAATGTGTAGAAGACTGAGAAAAGTGTCGTCTATTATTTGTGTAGTATTCACTTATTATGTGAAGCAATAATCGTGTAGTATGTTTTATAAGATATACCGATAAATGTAAAAGATATCGAGATGAACTCTGTTCTAGCACCCAGTACTATCTTTTTAATGAAAAGGTACAGATCGTCCTACTTACAGCTTTTGCTAGGGTTGTCATCAATATTGAGCTTCTAACATCAAAAAGATGTTTTTGAATTGAACGCCATAGTTTTATAACCAAGCCAAAAGTTCTTAGGCTGCCAAACACTTTGAATTTACTCTCAAAAACATGCCACTTGGCTGAGCCTGCAAAATGCTTATGTTAAATAAAAAATAGTTAATTCAACTACGTACGTTTTGGAAGCTTAAAGTACTGAATAATACTTGTGGACCGATTTTTGTCTTTTAAGAATGCCTATACTCTTTTATTTTCTATAAGATTGGTACATTTAGAATACTTTGTATTGAATAATGAATGTATGCCATATTAAAATCAAGTTATGTACAAAATAATCCAGTGCTCACACTTGTTTGTATGTATTTACAGTTTGTTATGTACACACAATGTTGGCCTCCATTTTACATTTCTAATATTCCTGCCCCACATATATGTATAGTTGTGTCGTCTACGAAAACTATCACTTCATGTCCACTACAGCTGTCAACTGAGCGCTTGTGCTGTCCTCGAGCCGAACATTTTGCTTGTCCACCGCAACGCGTATTTTGCATATTATAAACTCGCCTCGGGCCTCGGCCTAGGCCCGAGACTGGGCTTGGGCCTGGATCCTGGGCCCCAACGAGGACCAGAGCTGGTCAGAATTGGCGAAATGCTGGGCTCAATGGGGACTCGTGTCCAGTGCGTGCTCTAACGATTGCGGTTCTCTTTTGGTCGCGCATCCGTGTGCCTTTGCGCTTTGCTGCTCCTCGTGGCCAGTTTTGTGTAATTTATGGCTTTTGACGCCAAATACGTACGCATCTGTAGCTGTAGCTGTAGTTGTAGCTGCACTGTACGATATGGCCAGGACGGGCGTGTGGCTTGGGGGCGTGGCATTTTTGCATTTTATGCTAGCCGCATGCTGATGAGCAACGAGAGTTTAATTTCCTGATCATTTTTCGATGCAAAATCTCGACGCCGGCGCCGTCCCCGTTTCCAATACCCTTGCAGCCTTGTAGCCCCCTTAGCCTGTTCGATGGCAGTCCATTCTGGCAGCGATGTCTACGAACTTGCATGTCGCATGGCGAAATGGCGCATGGCGATTTCATAAAGTTCGGGAAACAATTGTGTCAATTTATGTGGCGATTTTGGGGGTCTGCTCATAGATCTATGCATTTAACTTTGAAAGCTTTCCCAGTGTGGCCTTCGACATGTTGTAGTTCAGTTCATGTTGGTTTCCATGCGATTTGATCAAATGAAATCGCATAGATATGGCGGCAGCAGTAGTTGAGCGTTGTGCCAATTAAAGGGAATCGCCACATTATGCAGTCAGGCAGATGGACGGACCGACGGGCAGCATAAATAAATTATAATTATTTGGGCTGCAATGGCCCATGGGCCCATGGGAGTCGCAAGTTGGGCAACAGGAAAATTAGCTCAGGACTATGAATGGCGAAAACAACCCCGAAATATTGCAATTGGCTGTATGCTTGTTTCTTTTTTTTTTTTTTTTTTTGTTTGTGGTTGGGCTTGAGCTAATAAGCAAATTGAATGCAAGTGGCAGCGATTTGCAACCCTGGCGATGGCGAGAACAATGAGTCGCCTGAGCAATCAAACAATCGACTAACCGACCTGCCGACCGGCCGACCGGCCGACCCGGCAACAATTAATTTTATTTATGTTGATTCTAATCAACAAGCAATTCGACAAAAGGCAGCCGATATAAAGGCTCGCGTGCCATCCTCGGCGGCTGTCATGGCAATGTGGCTGGCATCGTGTCTGCCATCATGTCTGCCTGCCTATGCCCCATCCGCCTGTCTGTGTATTTGAAATGGTTTCACTCTTAAATTGGCAACAAGAACAAGAAGCCCGCCTGAGCGTAAAAATATGAAAATTAAATTTCTGCACCACTGCGCCACTCAACTAGAGACAGAAATTCATGGTCGATGGTTCAAAAAAAAAAAAAAAAA